CCCCCCCCCCCCCCCCCCCCCACCTCGAGTTGACTCCGATATTTGTTCCGTGTGCCAATGTGTCTTGGAATATTTTTGATGTGTGGTGTAGCTTGCTGTTCCTCTATCAATCAGGTGTCGTCCGAAACACGCTGATGATGCCTTGATTGATTCCGTCAAATCAATGTCTCCCAGCACCAACAACCTTGATTGAAGTGCAGGTTTACGCGAAACCCTTCAATACGTTATCCGGGTCTGGTATCAGGTATAGCTGTCCAAATAGTGGCCCGCTGTTCCGCTATCCAACAGTGATGGACATAATATCTCGTTGTTGATACCCAAAGAGGTGTCGTGTTGGCCTTCTTCGTCCATCCTGGTAACGCATGGGTATCCACGTGTCCGTAATAACCTCCTACCGCTGTCTCCTCATTTGTTTAGGATGTACATGGTCCGTGGAGCAGTCCGGCTTTGAGCAAGCCCTCTCATTTCTTCATGAGCTTCGGGTTGAATTTCCAACTAAATTGCCTGACTTTTTGTGTTCTCCCGAACAGTGTTGGCCGGTCTCTGCCCTTGAGCTCATCCCAATATCGGCATTTTTCTCCTCGTTGATAAAGTTCTCGTGACCATCCCATCAAGTGGTTTGGCGTAGAACTCTGAATCATCACGCAGACGAGTGTTGTGTTCTGAACACCCTTTCCGTTCCCACTGTAGCCCGTGTGTAGATGGTGACGGTTTGATCCTCCAAACTTGCTGCTGTTCCGCGCAGCAATGCTCCAATCCTAGACTCCCATTCTGGACAGTCCTGTTGAATGTGCCGCAGAAATGGTAGTTGTAGCATTCAACCCCTCCTTTGTAGGCAGATCCAAAATATTCCCCATTTCGGTGTCTTGAACGGTGCGGTGCTTCCGTCAAATCCGTGTATCCCGCATTGCGAGCACAACTTCGTCGATTCGTGGCGTGATGTTACCATCCATTATGTTCCCATTGTACCACATATTTGTCGTGGTTTGAGTTATTTCGCAATTTTTTGTGCGACGCGTGCGAGAGTGCGCATGGTATGTACTTAATCAGCTCGTATTCCTCCGGCAGTCCTTATAAAATGATGAGTGGCCAAAATCGGGTACACCCGGCCCCAATCCGGCCATTATCGGGTACACTTGTTTTTCACAGTCGGCAGCACCCTCCCGGCGCCATCTGATTGGCCGACGACCGCCCCTACCCGGCCCTGGCCCTATTCCCACCGGGCGCACCCGATTTTGGCTACTCACCCCCCGGAGGGGTACTCGATCTTACTCTCGCCTACCCGAAAATGGCTGGGCTATTCGACCAACAGACCAACAGCAGACCACGCTCACGAACACACGTCGCCAACACCCCGCACTCGAGTTCCGACGCTCCCGACGGCGGGCGGAGGCGGACCTAACACGACTTACGCGGCGGAACTCTCGTTTGAAATGGATGTCCCTCCTGCAAGCCTCCTCCTGCAACCCACCGCCGACGGCGAAACTCTCTCGGTCCTCGTTTGGTATCAGAGAGGGAGGAGAGAGAGGGCCAGGCGGGCGGCGGTGGATGGATACCTCTCAATACCTCACGTGATCACTTGAGCTGCACACAAACACATGACTCAGCTCAGATATGTCCACGGAAACATCAGGCACAGAAGCATCAGGGTGTCTCTTTCGTCTGGAAAACATGTATAGACACATCAAGACCGGAGATGTATGGCATGTTGTTGCGTACCCAGAGGGTCGTTCGTACACAGCAATGCAGCAGCAGTAAGCAGTGGATGCCGTGGTCATGTCTCGATCAAGACCCGAGATATAGTCTGTGACACATTGTTGTGTAGGAAGAGGATCGTACAGTTATGCAGGAGCAGCAAGCAGTGGATGCTGTGGGACCTCAGATTAAACAGCAACCTTGACTTCGACCTCTCGTGAGTACCCGGGAGAGACAAGGAACTGCGGGCTTGCCACAGGAAATGGGGAAAGATAGAGAGTGANGGTCGTTCGTACACAGCAATGCAGCAGCAGTAAGCAGTGGATGCCGTGGTCATGTCTCGATCAAGACCCGAGATATAGTCTGTGACACATTGTTGTGTAGGAAGAGGATCGTACAGTTATGCAGGAGCAGCAAGCAGTGGATGCTGTGGGACCTCAGATTAAACAGCAACCTTGACTTCGACCTCTCGTGAGTACCCGGGAGAGACAAGGAACTGCGGGCTTGCCACAGGAAATGGGGAAAGATAGAGAGTGATGGTACACGCAGCATGAACGGTGTGCGCGATCAAGTTGCAAGAATACCCCTCGCTTGTTGTGTCTCTGCCGCTATGCGCGTGGATGACCCTATGACAAAAACTCCAAAAATGCGATGTTGCCGTCATTGTCAACCCCTGAAAGACATACTGACGGTGGTAGCAGAGAAGTACACACTAACAAAGCTGTGTGCGTCGTGTCGTGTGCTGCTGTGATCAAACTGCGTGGCGCTACCTAGAAATGCAACACTTGTATTCCCGCACTTACTTCTTCCGAACCAACCCCGATTTGCATGCAACAGTTTTTGTGGCTGGCGGTGTCACCGNTCAAGTTGCAAGAATACCCCTCGCTTGTTGTGTCTCTGCCGCTATGCGCGTGGATGACCCTATGACAAAAACTCCAAAAATGCGATGTTGCCGTCATTGTCAACCCCTGAAAGACATACTGACGGTGGTAGCAGAGAAGTACACACTAACAAAGCTGTGTGCGTCGTGTCGTGTGCTGCTGTGATCAAACTGCGTGGCGCTACCTAGAAATGCAACACTTGTATTCCCGCACTTACTTCTTCCGAACCAACCCCGATTTGCATGCAACAGTTTTTGTGGCTGGCGGTGTCACCGTGACCTGTGTGTGGTTAAAAGCACACCGTGCGTCCACAAACGAAGGGGCTGCCTTGGAGAGATACATCGTGAAAAGAAGCGTATTCACAAGGGTAGGTGATGCAGCTGCTGCGAAGTATCAAGAGTTTGTGGATTTTGATGTTGCGCAGCCATACNACCTGTGTGTGGTTAAAAGCACACCGTGCGTCCACAAACGAAGGGGCTGTCTTGGGGAAATACATCGTGAAAAGAAGCGTATTCACAAGGGTAGGCGAATGCGGCTGGTGCGAAGTATCAAAAGTTTGTGGACTTTGATGTTGCGCAGCCTTACTTGTACGTTGTGCCTTGCTTGAGGGCGGAAAACTAGTGGAAAGTCCAACTGACACACGAAGTCGACGCAACAGGGTGCGGAAAAGAGGAAAGACAAGACGGATGACCAAAACAAGCGCGGAGGATGAGGTAGCGTCCGGAGGTGAAACACAGGATCAACACGTACCGTCCCTCGTATTGGCGATAAAAGCTTTCTTTCTGGTGCCATCTGATGATCCAACTGTCAGCAGATATGTAACGTGGACCGACTGAAGAGGCGAAGATGGCACGAAATAAACAAGACGGATGAACCAAAAACAGAATGAAAAGGTGAAAACGATAAACGACCCCGGAACAGAACGAAGAGTTGGAAATGACACACGAAACACGAGACAAAAAAACGCACAGCGCTCCTAGTCGAGACTATAGTTTCTTCCTGTCGAAGCTATCCAAACAAAACAACCGTCAGAGACGCAAAATCGTGCCCCCACTAGGTTGGCGCTACAGCGAACTGATCGCCGTGCTTGTGTANCCATCTGATGATCCAACTGTCAGCAGATATGTAACGTGGACCGACTGAAGAGGCGAAGATGGCACGAAATAAACAAGACGGATGAACCAAAAACAGAATGAAAAGGTGAAAACGATAAACGACCCCGGAACAGAACGAAGAGTTGGAAATGACACACGAAACACGAGACAAAAAAACGCACAGCGCTCCTAGTCGAGACTATAGTTTCTTCCTGTCGAAGCTATCCAAACAAAACAACCGTCAGAGACGCAAAATCGTGCCCCCACTAGGTTGGCGCTACAGCGAACTGATCGCCGTGCTTGTGTAAAGGGAGGCCGGTCACCTCGCACACCCAACAGTAAAAAATCAACAGCCCGATACCATCCTGCGACAACTCGCGTGAGATTCATGCCCGGAATTTCCCAACCCAAACAAGGCGGGCCAGGCCATGCCATGCCAGGCCAGTGCCGCCGCTGCTCAGCCACTTCACCGGCCCATCCCTCCGTAAAATCACAACACGAGGAAACGGTACCGAGAAACTTCAAGACGACACAACAAGAGCGACTGCACAACGGACAATGTTGGTCGAAAACAGCAAACTCCGAGGTCACGAAACGTGAGGTACTTGTTACCCAAGTCAACGGAGATATCACCAGACTGCACGCCGCCCTGCGACAGGGCGGGAGCTCCCTGAGACAAGGTGGGCGCTCCCTGGGACGATGCGGGCGCTCCCTGGGACGATGCGGGCGCTCCCTGCGACGATGCGGGCGCTCCCTGCGATGATGCAGGCGCGCCCTCAGACAGGGCGGGCATCAGGCGGACGTTGTAGGAGAACGACGAAGCTTGCTCTCCCCTGGATGGGATCCTCTTCGTCCTCGAGGGCCCCTTTTTTTTGGGGCGACCAGCCTGGTTGGGCACCCAGGCCGGAGGAAGAATGTCCACGTCAACCGACAGCTCATCCGGCACGGGCAGCTGCACCTCGAACCGGCTGTCCGCGTCCAGGGCTCGGTAGGTGTCGAGGTGGTAGGCCGGGTCGATGCTTGACATGACCTCGTCGGACTTGTCCAACGCGGCGTCATTGACAATAATAAGGGCAGGCCCGCGCGGTGGAGGAAAAGGCACATTCTTTCAAGTTGTCCGCCAACGCAGTCCCGACGAAAAGCATTGACTGAACGCAATCCTAGTGTTCCAAGACAACGTCTGTCACCCGTTCGTGCTTCCTGGAAAATAAGCTCCAACGCGTCTACCAGCTTTCACGGCGGGATGAGCGGGACGGCGGGCCCCTGCGGGCTGTGTCAACACTTGACTCAGCAACACTGCACCTCTTTTCGCCGGTCAGACCGGGCTGCGCTACACTGATACGAATGCCGGGACTGTCACTGCTCACTTCGCCCGACGGCGATGATATCGCAGCACGGGATCTTGAATCGAGTCGTGTAGCCGCACGTGCAGGTCATGCGAGTCACTACGCGTCCCGAACTCCAGCCCCACTCGGTTGCCGTAGTTGCTGCCTAGTTTGCGAACAGTGAAGTTGCCGTTCCCGGTGGCGCTGGAGTGCAGGCTGTGATACGAAGATGGGCGCGAGTCGTGGAATGGACAGCAAAGGACGAAATTACGATGTTGTATAGTTGCCGTAGAAGGCAGACACGTCAACTCCAGCGTTAACAAAACATAAATCGGCGGAGAGATGGCAATGGTCAGAGAGACTATATCCCGGTATCCACAACAAACAACGCCAACAAGCAAACGAAGGTGAAGAAACAAGAACGGCATGATTTTATTAGATTTTTGCACCGGCGTCGGAGAAATCTCCGAACTCCAAACCCAGGATTGACGTCTTTTCGAGCTGCCGGAAAGAGGCACAAGTACATGTGGTATTCTACATGTGGAACATGTGGGGACCGTGTCAGCGAAGCTGAAAAACTTGACGGATTTGTTTTCGCTTTTGAATTGAATGAAAGTTGCCAACCGGAATCATGTGCATACAACCTGAAACTACTGCTGCTGGCGTGTGTGCGCAACAGGGCCTCATGGGTATGTTACTGGAGATAGCACCGGCCTTTGACATCGCACCGGGGTGCCAAAAAAATTCTCAGCGATATCATGGATTTGTGGAAGACCCTTTGTGGAATTTACGCACCGGGGACGAAGAGATGGCGCCGGGGTGCCAAAAAAGCGAAAAAAATGTGTCAAACAACGATTGCACGTGTCATCTCGCCGCCTTCTACGGGACACATATCAATGAAGCCACTTAAAACGTCTAGATGCAGACTGACTTTGTCCCGAAACGCTTAGCCAAATGCCTCGTGGAGAACGGTAGCACAAGCCGTCTCCTCGCCAGACGCAGGCGATGGTCTGTACCACTTACTTTCTGGAGTTCGCGCGCTGAGCCTCGAACTCCTTAGAGGCGAAAGGGGTAAACCTTTGCGAGGCGCTGTTGACGAGTTCAGCTCTCTCTGCCATCTGGGAGGCGGTCTTGTCCAGAATGTGCTGGGCCATGTTGTAGGGCGGCAACTTCCTCCCCTGTGAATGAAGTAACGGCGACACTGTTAGGACCTTGGTGACGAGAGCAGGTATCTTGACTCGTTTTGGCTGCCGACATCATTCCCGATTCCTGACGTACTCAAGCACGACATCTTCCTTGTCGTGCTTACTTGGTGGCCTGCACAAGACGTGCGCACTTCTTATGGTGAATGAGAGCAGTACTAATGTGTGAAGACATTTTGACACGAAGGGCGAAACGCCGCCGCACTCTGCGTCTTGAGGAGGTCGACCTACCATAACCTACAAAGGTCGGCACGCCGTCGACCTAAGGGAGAGTTAGTACCACGTCCGCCGCCCCGTCAACGTCACTCGCCCTCACCATTCCTCAACATCACTCGCCCGCACTATTCTCAACGNGTGAAGACATTTTGACACGAAGGGCGAAACGCCGCCGCACTCTGCGTCTTGAGGAGGTCGACCTACCATAACCTACAAAGGTCGGCACGCCGTCGACCTAAGGGAGAGTTAGTACCGCGTCCGCCGCCCCGTCAACGTCACTCGCCCTCACCATTCCTCAACATCACTCGCCCGCACTATTCTCAACGGTCACTCTTGAAATAACCACGCTGTCGAAGATTCGGTCCGCGTGCTCGCCACCAATTGAAAATACCACTCAACACGATGGGGTGATAAGGGCACACTAAAGCACGCTCGACTCGCCAAGAGTAGAAA